AGAATGTTTGCAGACGATGTAAATAATGTTTATCGATTATGATGTCTGTGGCAATAGTGGTATCAATGCTCCTATACACTTAGGGACCGCCTCCGTGGTGTAATGGCTATATTAGAGCGTCCGCCCGGAGAGCGGAAGGTCGCGGGTTCGATCACCGACCGCGTCATACCAAAAGACGTTAAAATATGGTACTTGTTGGTCCCTGCCTGGCGCTCGGCATTAATGGGTACAACAAGGACTGGTCGGCTCGGAGGCAGTATAATGTGTCTGAGTGGGGTATTCATGCTTCACTGCGGCATGGTATCTCAGTGGGATAGCACTAAAAAAATAGCTTTAGTCTGGGCTAGTACAAGCAGCCGCACATACACATACACACGCATGCACGTCGTCATATGAGCGAAATATTCTCAAGCACGACGTGAAAACACAATTTCACCTCACCTATAAACTTAGGACTACTGGATATTTCCAGCCGGTTAACATGTAACTCATGTGTCATCCTGATTAGACTCCTAAAGCATGCCACTGTGATACTGTTACCGTGGCTTTAGCTAAGTCGAAAACTTCATGTTTTCAGGCGGATCAAGCTCAGTCAATCGACTGGCATAGATTACAAGTCAACTCCACATACACAACAGCAATATGGCTGTTACATATTTTACCTTGGATAAAAGAAAAACAAAACTGAAGTTGATATTTGGTGACAATGTATTTTACATCTGAGAGGAATACACAAGAACATAAAACACACAGTTGAAATGAGTTGAGTTGAGTTGAGTTCAGTTGGGCTTTACGTCACATCGGCGTTATTCCAGCCACATAGTGACGAGATCCCAAAAGGGAGGGGAGGGCTTCGTTTTCGGAGGAAAACTCAAAAACCGTTCAATATCTTTCAAGAAAACTTGGCAGATATATGAATCAGAACATAAAGTGGTGCTTTTTGCTATTTATAGACGTTTTACAGTTTTAGTTGTCTAGGTTTCCATGGAAACCTTTTGACATTAGTCTGAAAGAATCAAGTTGGACTTTAAGTAACTGTCAGATGAATTGTTCTTTCAAATCTGTGTGGGCTGAAGGGATTTTTCATCCTTTGATGACTCTTGTTTATCATATGCTGAAGAAAGTCCTTTTACAGCAACCAGTGAGCCCGTTTTAGTTAATCGCTGGTTGAGTGACAGTCTGTAAAGGCATAGCATATCAATTTCAAATCGAGAAACATAAGATCAGTAAGTATACCCAAATCACTGATTTGCGATTCCAATGACATTTCCTGTAAATGCAGTAGATTGAATGACATTGGAAAAAAGCCGTTCGAAATTTCCAGCTGGTACAAACATGTAGTTCAACCTGTTGTTGTAAACAGCTACCATATCGGAAATCCACAATGGTAGATTAGATGATAGAGACTAATTCATGGCGGTGTAATTTATTGTTAAACTGGTCGTAATTGTATTATATTTTTCTGTCCAGTACAGGCCCAACACAATGTGCTTTGACAATAATTTGCTGTCAGCAATATCTTTGTATCGAAATTGAGCAGTGGCGTGGAAGTTAACCTATTCAGATACATTGAAATCTTCCAGTGAGTGAGTTAATATTTATCGTCAAATCAGCAATATTCCAGCCACATCGAGACGAGAACGATTAATAAATATATTAAAGATCAATAGACCAGAATTAAAAACCTGTTGATGATGACGAATACAACTACAAGCTTATCACAGATATCAAAGTAGAAATAGCATGCTATCATAGCACGATATTATGAAAAAGAACAATACAATATAAAAACGGGCTATAAATGGAAAGTAGATTACCAAACAAGAGGCAATGGGGAACTACAATGCATCGGCTACCTGCATGGCCCCTAGCTGGACTTATACCACCCCATCAGCCATTGGCGATTTGAATCCAATTAGGTAAAGAATAAAATAGCACGTATACTGCGATTAGATACACGTAGTATGGTCCATGCCCCGAATTAAATCCCAAACATCCCCATCCCCTGGCCCCCACCCCACCCCATATCCATGCAAATAAGCAAATGCCATAGATGTAAAATCTGTCACTTACGTTGAAGACCGTCTTGGTACAGGGCAGACAGGTCAGGTCTGGTATCAGACTTGATCATAGGTTACGACAAGGTTACGATCACCTTGCGTATTCGGAATGAACTCTAGATTTACTTGAACATTAGCCATGGTGATGAATGACAGTGACTAAGAATTCTCCTGCGTAATATTTAGCTGTGAACAAGATGAATACTTTTATTCAGTGACATTAATTGAACATTGATAATTGGTGAGTTGATATCAGTCTGACAATCTATCAGCTTGGAATCTGTCCCTTGGCCATGAGTTAAGTTCCTAACCTAACCTAATGGATACTAGGTTTCAGTATCCGGAAACAGACAATGAGAGTTTCCGCATAGTTTACAAAACTAAAACTAACAAGTCAAGGTTTCCGTCATGTTTCCACAACTGAAACTAGCATTATGTGTTTATAGCAAAAGAACTTAGAACTCAGCAAACAAATCAAAGCATTATGTATGTATGTGCGCGCGCGCGCGTGAGTGTATGAGAAAGTACATCAAGAGGGAATATTCAGCATTTCAGAACACAACTTCTGTATGAATATGCAAAAATATAAAAATGTCAAAACCTCACAAAATGTGTATGTATGTGGTGAAATGAGGCCAACGTGTGCAAGCAAATCATACTTGCTGTGGTATTTATTAAACAGATTTGAAGCTGTCTTAATGTATCTTAACATATACACACTATCATAGTAAAGACTTGGCAACTCGCTGACAATCATGAAGCTTCTGTTGCACTCATACTGAACAGGCAGCGATCCTCTGATTGGTATATATGAAGCAGGGCATGAGTTGAGACATTTGTTTTGCCACACAGAGATCTCTAGAAAGGGGAAATGTAACCAAGTCGATCAAAACAAGGATCTCTAGAAAGGGGAAATATAACCAAGTCGATCACAACAAGGATCGGCCCTGCGATGTGGATCTGTACTGTGATCCCGATTGGTCAGTGGCTCTGTAAGGTGATCTAGATCTGTTAGGTGACCATGCTCGGTCCGATGATCTGATTCGAGGTTGTGGTCTGGATCGGTCCAGTGATCTACTTCGATGTTGTGATCTGGAGCGGTTAGGTGACCTAGATCGGTAGGTGATCTGATTCGAGGTTGTGATCTGGATCCATTCGATGATCTCGATCGGTCCGGTGATCTGATTCGAGGTTGTGATCTGGATCCACTCGGTGCAAGTCGTGAGATATTTTAAGTTTAAAAATGTACTAAATTTACCTAGGAAAGTCCTCCGGAAAAAAGTCCTCCTTTTATTTTTTTAAAACAAATGTTAAGAAAAAACTTAGATAGTCGGGTTTTTAATATTTTATTCACATACAACTATGTAATTTGACAAAATACATTTGCAGGACTTTTTAATTTTTTAATACTTTATTTTAATACTTTACACTAATTATTCTTTGATTCAAGCAGCAAAAATCCCATTTTATTTGACAAACAGAACTCAAACAGTACTCCACAAGGCAGTTTGTTAAAACAATCTTGTTCTGAACACTAATTTTTCTTTGATTCAAGCAGCTAAAATCACATTTTGACAAACAGAACTCAAGCTAAATCCTGGATTAGATCTGCCAAGTTAACATATCTTTGTTCTTGGTCAACTCAGTATTTAATCCATGTTTTTTATAATAATAATAAATGTGCATTTATAATGCGCGCAATCCAGACAGATATGCCTGCTCAAGGTGCTACAATGGGAATGTATAAAGATAAAAGTCAGGGAGTGTTGGGTGGAGTTAAATGTCACTTGTCACATGATACTTGGAGAACATATGGGTCTTTAGTCTTGATTTGAATTTCTCAAAGGTTTGACACAGTTTCAACTCTGATGGAAGTGAGTTCCAGAGGATAGGGGCAGTGCTGGAGAAGGATCTGGAGCCAAATGTCTTCAGTCGATATTTAGGAACTTGGAGGAGATTTTGGTCACTTGATCGGAGTTTACGTGCTGGAGTGTATGGAGTCAAGAGTTCAGACAGATAGTCAGGGCTGGTGTTATGGAGGCATCGATATGTGATACAGAAGCTTGAACTCTATTCTAGATTTTACTGGCAACCAGTGGAGGTCTCTGAAAGGAACAAATATACTACGTTTAAAAGACCTGGAAAAGACATACGGACATCGCTGCGAAAAACTCGCAGTGCCACGACCGTGTAAGGTAAAACCAAAGTTGTTTGTTGTCAAATAACGTTTAAAGAATTATTTACCTTCCGGATTGGTAAACAAGTTAATCTTGCGAATGTACAGACCCCGTGCAAAAACGTATTTGCACATTTGACGTAATTTCCATAGACTTACATGTTATTTCAGTGTAGCATAAAGAATTTTCATGAAGTGAGTTTCGGATGGATCTTTATAAAATTTGACAGGCAAATTTGAAATTATCTCTGCTCTGCGCACATAATTTCAGTTCAACTAATGACATCACATTTATCAACTTACGTATTATGCACAACCCCATATGTTGATTAAATTGTTGTCATTCGATAAGTAAGGCACCGGAAAATGTAACAGAAATTATGTGATTGTTAGTAAGATGATTCCTCACAAATCTGCAAAATATGACGTGGATCTTACGAGAATTAAATCCATGAATAAATTTTATGCTACACTATATTAACATGTGAGTATATGGATATTAAGTCAAGTGTCCGAATACTTTTGGCAAAAGTTGGTGAACGGTCCATAATAGACAACACCCTCCCCGACCCCCCTACGGCTGATATAACGTTTTCACAATCGTGTAGACTGGTTCGCAGAAAGGTAAGAAGGAAGCTCGCCGATTCATATGGATTCACATATGTCATTCGGGAAAGTACAGATGACACTCCTTCCTAAATATATAACTTCATAAATGTAATATATAATAAATATATGTATAATTAATAAATACATAATATATAAATAAGTTGAATGTCATCATGGTGTATAGTAATATTTTTTTGTTTCAGAAATCAACAACTGCTCGAACATACTGGCGCTGCAGTGTCAGAAACAAGACGACCACATGTCCTGCATCAGTTATCCAGTTTGGGAAAACACCGCCACTGTCATCCACCCCAACATGGCCATTTGACAGCAATCAGAGTGAGAGTGGAGGTATTTATTTTGTGTGTTTAATAATTTACAGTCCCAGTAATTTAGTAGATTGTTAACTGGCCTTTAATTGAGTAGTGTATTAATCGGCCTGTGTAATTGTTATATATTCTGCAGGCGAAGGAAAAAGCTGTGGGTGATATCTACAAGTCGAGCGCCAGCATTGTAGAGGAAGCTCAACAGAAACATATCAACCCTGACAAGCCTGGTGGTCGACAGAACCAAGCTACCCTAGTACGGATGGCCAACCGTACGAGGGAGCTTCTTCGTTCGAAGGAACCTAGGTCCTTGGACTTTGAAGTAAATGGTTTGTCATATGGTTGAGTAAAATACAGTGCAGTTATTATTTAAATTATATTTCATTATACTTCAAATAAACTATACATGTGTAATGGTGCTATTTTCTACTTTCAGTTGGATGAAAACTTCCTGCCCTGAAGACTTCTTTCGTTGTGACGTGGGAAACAAAGGCAAGAGGCATCTAGTGTTTGCCACTGACCGGCAACTACAACACTAAGTCTTAAGTACGAGTAGGCAGTGGTTCATGGACGGTACTTTAAAGATTGTTAAATGCCGTTCCATCAACTACTGACTATTCATGCTTTTGTGCGTTCCGGTAGGGACTTTAAGCTTATGCCTCTTGTCTTTGTGATTATGTCAAGGCGAATGACATCGGACTATGTGAATGTATACTAGCGCCTACTAGAGGCTTTCCCCAAACAACTGCAAGTGAAGACTGTCATCCTGGATTTCGAGCAGGCTGCCTGGAAGGCCCTGAAGAAGACTTTGCCTGACATCCGCGTCCGTGGATGCTTGTTCCACCTGACACAGGCAGTTTGGCGAAAATGTCAGAGCTGGGCCTACAGGTACGTTCGAAACTTTGAATTATTCAATCATTGATTGTTATTTCGATAATATATAATTTATTTCATATATTCATATGTGTATGTACTATTTCAGGTAGCTTACATGGAGGAAGATGACATTCATAAATTCGTAAGAAAGTTGATGTCACTCCCATTTCTTCCCGCGGCTGATGTCTCAAGGCTATTCCAGAAGATATCTGATCGGGTTCGCACTCATGCTGCACTGACTGACTACTTTGAGAGTAAGTGGATCTCCTGTCCTATATTCACACACCACCCCACCCCGACACCTGGCCAGTCTTCAACATCGCAGTCCAGGACGAACAACTTTTTGAAGGCATACATTTCTTAATAAAACAAAGATTAATAGAATTATTACTGATTCTTATACTATTTTGGCATTGTCAGGTTTCCATTTTAGAAAGTTTTGTGAAAATATGTTTTCTTCTGTTCAGGCTGGCACAGGCGAATGAATAACAAGGTGGAAGAGCAGTCATTGGGACTCTGCATGCTCATCCCAGAGCTCCTTCGTGAGGCCAGCCTCCTACCCCTCCAGACCAGGCTCATTCAATAAGGAAGACCTGAGGCTTACATCCACAAGTCATCATCAGCCAGGCAGGAGGAGGTATTCGAACTGTGGAATTTGTTCAAGGATGGTGACATGTCTCTGTCACAACTTCTCTCAACATGTGCAGCTATCCGGCCATGGACCAATCATTCAGTAAATTCATGCAATGCATGAAAAGAGTCGTTACATTCTTACAATTGAGAGAAGCTGCACAACTTCTCTCAGATGTGCAGCTATCCATCGAGCATCATTCAGTGAATTCATGCAATTCATGAAAGAGTCGTTACATTCTTACAGGGGTTTATAATGTGTTATATTGACGGTGCTGTTGTTATCGTCTTGCCAATCTTGTTTTTTTAATGAAATGAGTGAGTGAGTTATGGTTTTGATATGCCAGCTTTGATATGACGGGGGTACACCAGAAATGTTAATTAAATAAACTCAATGTTTTATATATGTTGATATAATTTTGCTAATGTTATAATGAAAAGGAAATAGAACATAAAAGTCAACTTCATACTTTGTTTTTCATATATGGTGCCGTTTTAGCTCAGAAATCCGTTTAGTTGTTGGCGATCTATAGCCCATGTTTTATAATGTATTGTCTTCTTCAACTGGAATATTTTAGCTTTGCTTGCTAGTTTTATATTCATATCTGTGATTCTCTGGTGTTTTTACTCTCCATCGTCGACAGGTTTTAATCTTCAAAATGTTTTCACTTTTTATTGTGTAAATGGTTTTCGTAACGATATGACTGAGATATTGCCGATGTGACGTTAAATTTTAACTCACTCACTCACCCACCGTTTTTGCCAATAGGTTGCCTTTTTTTTGCCAAATACATTTGGTGCCGTTTTAGCTATAACCCAAGTAAAATAAGTCTATTTAAAAAATGTACTTGCTCTACTATTTTGAAAGATAATTTTACAGGTGCATAACATTGGATTTGTGCTTACTATGGTACATAGATACCTTTAGTAAATGTTTATTGAATATGATTATTTGTATATAATGTATTTGTTATATTTAATGGATTTTTTATGTTCATTTAGGCTGTTGTGAGAAAACTGTTATCATGACTAATCCTGGAGAAAAGATGACTCTCGCTTATTGAAGGTATGTGTTTATGGTACTACAAAACAGACATAATTTCTTTTTGAATATTTCATTACTATGCTTCCCTACATACATTTCCACAAAATGAAACATACTAAAGTTCCATTTTCAAATGGACTTGAATAACCGGTAAACTTAATAATCATGATTTCAAATTGGAACAAGCAAAGCTTAACTTCACATCTGTTTGAAATTGCAACCAAACTGACACCTTGATCTGTTGTGACTTTCATTATAAATAGTTCATTATTTCCAATGAATCGTGCAGAGACAAGGTTTATAGATGTCAACGTCTTTATTATGAGAAAACACGTTTCAGAGTGAATGCTTACTTCATCAGGTGAAGTCTTGTGTTATTGACTTCTAAATGTACTCAAAGGCTTAATGGTGTAAATATATGTTATTCAATGCAGACATTGGACCGGGATCAGTAAACAAGCCAACATGGCTCACATACTTTTGCCTAACAAGTGAAACAAAATAAATGAAACACACTCTTTCACTTAAAACCTAAAACATAATTCCCTTTTTTTGCACATGAGCGTTTTGGAGAGAGGCGGAACAGGCGTGATGATCTGAAGAGACAAGAAACTGGAAAGGAGGCATCACACAGAATAGCAGCAAAACAACAACAAAAAAAACAAGTCCGTACGTTTATATATTTAAATTTTAAAATTTAATGTAAAGATGTTGTTCTTTGTCATAACAAGGGCTGATGACAGATACTAATTTCCCGTCTGTTCAGTCAAGACAATTTTATGAACAACTGAATGCACCAGGAAAACAAATAGTATGTGTCTTCAAATTTAAAGAATATTTCCTTCGTATATTAATAATATATGTAACACCAATATTCTGAAGATTATTTCATGTATCTTTACATTTAAGAATCATCATAATTTCATCATCATACAGTATCTACTGGGTGAATATTCTTGTGCCTTCAACAATACGAGTCCCAAGTATGGTGAACTACCTTCAGTCGTTGGCAATCTATAGCCTGTTTTTATATTGTATTGTCATTTATAGTTCAAATATTTTAGATTTAATCACTAGTTTTAAATAGATATTTGTGATACATTAGTAGTTTTACTGTTCTTCGTCAACAGGGTTTTAATTTCTAACTATATTGATCTTTAATAGAATTATAAACTGTTCTCGTCACGATATGGCTGAAATATTGCCGATGTGACGATAAATATTAACTCACTCACTCACTCAACAATAAGAACTGTAATAGATTGAATACAGTATCACATGGCAATGCCATGAAAACCTATTACTAGCACCATCATTACTACATAGAAAATGCAAGAAATATTCAGATATATATAACATATTACAACCTCTGGTCTGGCAAGCAAGTTTTTATAGATTTTGTGTCCTCTTTAGAAAATAGGATATTCGATTCTAGCAATGAAGTGTGATGAATTTAATAATTTAAGTTTTGAGAAAAACAATGCAAAGTGTGAATGTTCAATTTGGTTCTTATTTTTATTCAAACTTCCTTTTGGATTACTTATTTTAATTATCCTTGGCATTGGCAATTTTCTGTTGAGTGATGTTTGTGTAATTTATTGAAATAACCTAGTAATTCGTTATTACCTGCCATTTTCAGAAACTTGCACAACGCCTAAACAGACTAGCATCTATCGATTGGTCAGATAGATGAAAGATAAAGGTAGCGACAATCCTCACAATAGACATGACATCACCAGTCGTGAGTGACGAAGATAACGTCAATTTGTTGCATTCCGCCCCCTTTGTCTGGGAGTCCAGCAAGCTTAGGGCATACACGACGACACTGGACTTGCCAAGGCCAACATGAAAACGAGGATGAGGCATCCAACCAAAGTAACAAATGGATGTCCCTATTAACTAGCTGACCAGATCCTGCAATTTATTTGAATTTATTTTCAATTTCATAATATAATGTTTATTGTGTTTTATTTTTGTATTGCAAGCTGTATGTTGTGTTATTGCATGATGTATCTCATAGTGGATGTTTGGCGATAGTTGTGACAGAGAATGTGTGGCTGACTGTCAAGGCGTGCAAGGGTTATTTCAAAATAATAACTGAATGAAAGTTTAACTGATGATAGTACTACCTTGTTATAAATGATATATGATTTCGTGAATTGGATTAAGTTATCCCATAAATGTTTCGACCTGTTCTTTAGTGCTAGTTTATTAGTTGTATGTATGATTTTCATTTGTCTTCAATGCGAATTCATATTCATGTTGAGAAAATAAAACAGTGAATCATATTATATATTCTGTTGTCCTCTATGTAAACGTTGTGATTATAACAAATTGCGTATATTGTTTTAAACAAGAGCTTATAATAAGAATACATAAGAATGTTTAAAATTGGCTCAATGGAAAGGTGTATGAAAACCTGTGAACCTGAAACTGAAAATTGTAACTGAAACTATGCGGAAACTATGTCGGGTTGTTGGTAACTGAAACACTGCGGAAACCTTTAGAAAAGAACGGAAACTCACTGGATTCTAGGTGGAAACTTCAGCTTCAGTCCACTTTCCATCAGGTTTCTGCATTGCGGAAGCCAAGTTATTTTTTCTGTTAAGCTGAAGCTCAACGAGGAGTGTTTTCTGGTAGGGACTACAGCTCGCCGAAAACAGACCAACATCAGGTCGTTTCACTTTGGCGAAACCTCAGTTCTACTATTTAACAGTGTTAGGGACCTTGGCGTGACTGTTTATCAGGAGTTGTCATTGGAGGTGAGGTGAAATTGGGTGTAACGTCGTGCTTGAGAGTATTTCGCTCATATGACGACGTTCATGCGTGTGTATGTGTATATGTGGCTGCTTGTACTAGCCCAGACTGAAGCTGGTTTTATAGTGCTAGCCCACTGAGATACCATGCCGCAGTGAAGCCTGAATACCCCACTCAGACACATTATACTGACCCCAAGCCGACCAGTCCTTGTTGTACCCATTAATGCCGAGCGCCAGGCAGGGACCAACAAGTACCATATTTTAACGCTCTCCGGGCGGACGCTCTAACCACTAAACCACAGAGGCGGCCTAGTTGTCATTGGACCAGCACATTACCAACCTGTACAAGACATGATACCTATTCCTCCGAAATATTGGAAACATCCGAAAGCTACACACAAAGGAGTCAGCTGTTATCCTTGTCCCCTCACTGGTGATGACAAGACTGTATTGGTGCAACAGCAAAATAATGCCAGATTGATAGACTTCAACGGATCAAGAATACAGCAGTAAGCACAGCCAATGTCTCCCCGGGTCAGCTCCACCACCCCTGTGTTGGAGGACCTTCACCGGATGCTCATTCTACAGCGCATCAAATTTGAACTCGGTATTCTCACCTTCAGATGTCTCTCTGGAAATGCATCTCAATATCTGTCCGATCTCATTTCTCCAGAAAAACCAACAACATCCCTCCGCTCCAAGACACATAATCTTCTGTGCATTCCAAAAGTCAGAACAGTTACATTTGGTCAAATAACTTTCTTTTCTGCTACAACTTCAGAGTGGAATCATCTCCCACAACATTTTAGTGAGTGAGTTTAGTTTAATGCCGCACTCAGCAATATTCCTACTATTTGGCGGCGGTCTGTAAATAATCTAGTCTGGACCAGACACTGACGTGATCAAGAGCATCGATCTGCGCAATTGGGAACTGATGGCATGTGTCAACCAAGTCAGCGAGCCTGACCACCCGATCCCGTTAGTCGCCTCTTACATGCATGGATTACTGAAGACACAACATTTTAGAGAAATAAAATAACTTTCAACCTTTCAAACCGCACTTAAGGCTTACCTTTTCCAAACAGCCTTCTCATCCTAACATGTGCGCTTTGGGCATGCATTGTGCATAGAAATATGCGCTTTATTAATGCTCTATTAATACTCTATTAATACTATTACTACTACGAAACAGTCCAATATGTTTTTTAGAAAGCTCGCATTATCACTGCAGTTAGTAAAGCCACCGTTTCATTAAACATTAAAGAACTACAGAATCCAAATAAATGATCAAGAAGACTATATTCAATTAAAACACAATTTATTAATTACAAATCATCATTTTCAAATGCATCCAGTGATGGGTGCCGTGTTCCCATGCACAGCTCTTTTTGAGAAAGAAACGTACTAATTGATTGTTGGTTGTGGCATTAAATGATACGTACTTATTAAAATCTGTGGATATTACTATATTTTGTATCAAATATAAATTACAAATTATAGGCTGTTGGTTATTCATAATCCAACCGTAAGATTGCCATGAATGAGCTTTAATGTATCAACAGTAACTGTTTCATTAAAATGTTATTAAAAGCAGTCGGTAGCCGTTTTATCTAATAAAAGCGGATTAATATTAGATTCCTCCCCCCACCCCCAGAGGGTTTTATTGCTTATAAGGTAGAGAACCTCGGCTCGCACCACACATTTGGCGATCACCTGGAAACATTGGAAACATGTTGGGGTACATAATCCTGCTGTCCGTGTTGTCCACTTGTGTGGGAGGGGCAAATGTCTGCTGTGCCCCTGATAAGTGGTTTGCCCAGAGATTCTCCGCTGGTCTTGCTCTGTTAAAAGTAGAGGGGGTGAATGTTCCTTTCGTCGATGCTGTAAGTAATCTCTCTCGATAAATGGACTCTCTGTCTCTCATTAATTCCACTCTACACTGTCCCTTGAAAAATGCAACATCTTACTCTCTTTCTCGTCAATCGCAGTATCCTTCGCTCGAGAAATCTAGTTACTATCTGTCGTAAAAGGCACTCTTTCTTTTTCTCCCGTCTTCAAGCTCTCCCCCATCGTATGCACAAACCCACTATCTCCCGTTACATGCTGTTTATCAACCCATCGCAAAATACACTCTTCCTTTCTCCTATCGTCAAATAAACGAACTTACTCTCTCTGTCGTGAAATGCACCATCTTGCTCTTTCTCGTCCAAGCACAATTCCTCCCTCCCTTACGTTCTCTTCAAAAGCACTCTCTAACACTAGTTAAATGCTTGGGGGCAGCTCTTGCGATAATGATAGTGAGTGAGTGAGTTTAGTTTTACGCTGCACTCAGCAATATTCCAGCTATATGGCGGCGGTCTGTTAATAATCGAGTCTGGACCAGACAATCCAGTGATCAACAGCATGAACATCGATCTGCGCAATTGGGAACCGATGACATGTGTCAACCAAGTCAGCGAGCATGACCACCCGATCCCGTTAGTCGCCTCTTACGACAAGTAGTCGCCTTTTGTGGCAAGCATGGGTTGCCGAAGACCTATTCCACCCCGGATCTTCACGGGTCTGCGATAATGATAGACTATTGTAACATACTATTGCGACCAACTCTTGCAATGCAATGTTTCAGGGGAGTTCTATAGAATATTACGATGCCGCCAATGAAAGGATAGCCATCATCAGCAACTTCAGCCTTGACAACACCAAAGGAGAATCCAAAGTCATTGCCGATCACAAAGGGGTAAGGTTAATCTTACCTTTCTTTTTGTTCTGTTTCGCACTGGTATTTCGTGACTGACCTATTTAAGTTATAATGTGACTTTGCAAACTATGTAGCTTATAAAAAATAAACGGTTTAACTATCATCAAACGGCAGTAAAATAAGTAGAATATCACAGACTTATATATACAATTAGCAAGTAACCACAAAATGATATTTCTATAGACGATTCATAATAAAACCTGGCTATAAATCCCATAGTGATGACTTTCGTCATTATCAGTTTTTTTGTGTTGTTGAAAATTTAAATTTAAAATAAAAGGATGTATGTTTAGGGTTCATACAATAACACAATACTGGAGAAACACGCCTGTATGTATCAGTACAACTCAATATCTACTGATAAGTAGGGATATCACATTGCTTCACACGTCGTTAGTATTGCTCAAAAGACTTTAAAATATTTAATGTGACGCGCTTGTGAATGAGTGGCACACCCTGATTTAAAAATAATATTCGCATTTTTTGGCATATTTACAAGTATACGGACCCGGTGATATACATTCAAATAAGAATAACATGTGCATTATGTCAAAAAAACAATTGATTGAAACACTTAATTTATCAAGACAAGGACATTTAGAATGATTGATTAACATGTAAACGGTATTCATGTAAACATGTACGAGTGTGAATATATATTTTATTTTTATGATTCATTAGTCTGTTTTCAGTATACATGGCCTCCGACCCTGAATACTTTTGAAAATTTGGTCCAGTTAATTCCTTATCAAAAGAAATACGATCAGACAAATGCATGAATATGTACAACCAATCTGGCATTAAAGCATTGCAACTGAATGAAACGTCATTATATATGTCTGTTTAGGTAGATCGGTTGGTCTTCCGTTTATACCTTTATATGATGGTTGGTAAGTAAGGCTTTAGGGCAACCGTGGGCCTGCAAAGTATAGTTGAGTTCAGTTGGGTTTCAAGTCACATCAACACTATTCCAGCCATATAGTGATGAGATCAAGCCTGAATGAATACACATTTTAAGTACAAAGTCCAAATGAGTTTCATTTTAAAAGCATATATATTCATTACATTGTTATTGCAAACAGAAAATGTCATAGCCCTAAATTGAAAAGCACGCAATTCGTTATTCACATTACATAGTTACAATTTATGATACAGGTCAACTTCCCTCAGGATGTGAACAATGAGATGCCCGCTCACGCGAGAAAACAGATCTTTCAGATTTCTCTCATCATAATGTGATTTCCTGGCAGTCGCAAAGTCCACACAGTCAAGCTGAATATGCTTGATGGTGACCAACCCATCGCAAGAGACACACATGGGAGGTCCATCCCTATCAATTTTCAGCAGATAGTCATGAGTAAACCGACTGTGGCAGATACATAGTCGTAAAAATTACCTCATCACGTCTTGACTGACAACCCACGTGGGGATAACCAATCGTTGGCTTCACCTCAATGAAGTGTATTTCTTCCTACATAGGTGTCCCACCTTTTAGCATAAGGTCCCGCGTATATGACTTTTGATAGTGTTTGAAATCGTTGTACGGGATCAGCAGTGGAGGTAAGGGCTTGTCAAGAGCTGCTTTAGCTGCAACATCGGCCTCTGTGTTACCTGCTATGCCGACGTGACCCTGCAACCAGCAGAGGACGATGTCATAAGATCGCTTGAAAATTTTATATGAGCGCCAAACACTTTAGCTCTCCAAGAAATGTTTATTTAAATTCTGGCACATCCCCCGTTTCAAAAGGGGTGTTTTTGGTTTTGTTAAGGTCAGCCACATTTCTTTCTGGTGTCCCTCGCGGTGGTATAGCTGGAATATTGCTTATACTCACTGAATCATAGAAACAATGCTTAACCGATTCTGGCAGTGTAAGTTATAGTATTCGAACAGAGGGGAGATGCGGTTATCTAAATGCATCTGTATGCATTCAAGCCACAGTGGCCTAGAGTAAAGTTAAAAGAACTTCTTTACGGCAACATTACAGTGTGCTGGTTTTAATTGTGATCAATATTTTATGATTGACTGAATTCCTTATATTGTCTTGTTTAAGGGTCTGCTGTATACAATTGATCTAAAGAAGAGTGTATGTCGCGTCCAGAAGTTAACCCTTCCATTTGCTAAGTTCTGTGTTACAGGTAAGTATCATATACTTAATATATATGTTACTGTAAAACATGTCTACAAGGTTGTTTGTTGCTTAACCCCGCGTTCAGGGATATTCAGGACATATTCGAGTCCACCCGACCTTACAGCTCACTCATAGGCTCCCCCTACATCTCTCAGAATAAAAGTTGACCCATTTAGGCTTTCAACTCGTTGTGCACTCAAGATGAAAAGGAAGTAGGAAATTTCTGAAGTCCACACAACAATAAATAAACCCATTTGACATTTGTAACATAACATAGTGGGGTTGCCTAGTGGTGAAAGTATTCAATGTGTGAAGCTTTCGATTGCCCACAATGTGTGACGCCTGTTGCTGGTGTCACCCGCCGTTATATTGCTGACATGTTGCTGGATAATTGCTATAAGCAGCATAAAGCCATACTCACTCGTCGACAACGTACCATGATAATTCTTTCAGTGTCAAAGTTTGACTGAGGCATTTTGTCAATGTGGTGTTGGCCACTACACCCTTTCACGGAATATTGCGAAAAAGTGGCCTTACATTTAACTCACTTACTATTACGTAATTATAACAACTACCTTTGTGTGCAACACGTGTTCATAGCTTGTCTGTCATGGTAAATATGAAGAATCTTATTGAGTCATCTGTTTTTCAGATAAATTCAAAAAAGCCTTTGACTTCACTCTTGGATTCGGAAGTAACTCGCTGTCATCAACAATTTACTATGAACTCGACCGTGGCTTTGGTCCGCACCCCAACAGCGTGATAGACAGCTTCGTTGTTGTCTCGAAAGAATGCATTCCCTTACAAACAGACCTCTACGGAAAGGATAAATGTGAGTACCATTTGCACCACCAGTTACTGTGTTCCTTTACTTAAATATGAAAACTATTCCGGGTTTTTTCTCTCCCTTCTTCAGGTTCTAAGGAATGTTCGCCTTAGTTACTGGCGACCCACAGCCCATTTTGATATCGCCCTGTTGAGTTTGAAGTACAATACTCGTTGGCAATGTTTATATTCATTTCTCAAAAACGACTTTTAGATAATAATTGATAATTACTTTGATTTGGTTTGGCTGTTGTTTAACGCCGCGTTCAGCAATTGTGAATATATTTATGTTGTCAGTGGATGTTGGTTTAAAACTAACCTACTGTGTACTCTTATTCAGACAACTTCCTTCAATCAACGGGGTTTTCAAACCTCGGTGCAGAGTTCGATGAATCTGTCTTTGATCCCCCCAATTTCTGCCCAAAGTGTTCACAGGTAGGTGATATCATTTAAAGATGTATCTTAATGCAAAATAGATACTTATGTTCCAGCTAATTTGTACATTCTACAATTTTGTAAAATATAAATCTTGTATAAACTATTTGATTTTTAGAGAGAAAAAACAACAACAATACGGCCTCTGGCCCTTCACATTTTGTTAGTCAACCCCATCCCGCCCAAGCGGACTAAACAAGCAAACATTTGTTCTTTTCAGTCTACGATGACAGACAATCCTTCTTTTCAAGAGATCCCTTTGCTGTGGAGAAGACGTGGCCACATGTAACCAGAATTATTTACAATGCCACCACAGAGGTTAATGTTCAGCGCTACCTCCTCGAGCCAGAATTCAAGCACGAACAAAAAGCGCCCTCAGCAATTGTTCCAACATGATACTATGTTAAACTGTTGATGTTGTCTGTCGTAACACAGTTTTCCTCCTAAATAGCAGATCCCTGTATCCCCTCAATATTGGTATATTAAGACAATGGAAATTGTTGGAAATTGCACCCCAAACCAGCGGTCATTCTTGTGTATAATTACTGTACGAAACGCTGAACATTCGAGTCTGTGGATACTGTCGTGTATATAATGATCCTTGTATTTGCCCCTCGCTGTAGTATGTGATGCATGTCAAAGCCGAAATAAATATATTGTTTTCAGCACTGACGCGTGTGTAATTGAATTGTTATTCTGCATATTCCAGTGTGATATTTTATCCACTCCCAGGTCACCCGTGAAGGTCTGGCTTAGAATTGGTGGGCTCTACATTGTCTGATTATTTCCACCAAGATCAGGGCGTCCCTCAAGGCAGCATCCTGTCTGTTACACTTTTTAGCAACAAAATTAACAGCCTCACTAATGTCATGAACAGTTATGTTGATGGGTGCCTTTTCGTGGATGATTTCAATATTTCATGTCGTGGTAAGAACATGCAAGCAAGAAACGCAACTGCAACTCTGCCTTAACAAAATAAAAAAATGGGCCAATGAAAATGGCTTTAAGTTTTCAAAATCCAAAACAAATTGCATATACTATTGTTTTAAATACAAACCTCACAAGGATCCAGACCTATCTTTAGATGGTACTCCCATCAAGGTAGTAGAAGAGGCCAAATTCTTTGGACTCATATTCGACCGTCACTTGACATTCTTACCTCACATAAAATATTTGAAAACAAAGTGCTTGAAGGCTCTTGACTTGCTAAAAGTCGTTTCAAATACATAATGGAGAGGGGATCGAACTGCCCTCTTTCACTTGTACAGAGCATTGGTTCACTCTTAACTAGATTATGGCTTCATTATCTATTATGGATGGGTTTATAATGCAGCACTGAAGACAAAACAGCTAACGAATCCAGCTTTGGTGGGTCCATAATGCGTCATAAATCAACCAACCATCCAATAGAGTTCTGGTGGGTCTGTAATGCGGCATTAAAGAAACTACAGCCAACCAATCCAGCCTTGATGGGTCCATAACGCGGCGAACAACAGCCAGGCAACTATTCCAGCAGTGTTGGATTTATACGGCGGCGTTAAACAACAAGTAACCAACCATTCCAGCCCTGATGGATCTATACTATGGCATTACAGAAAACACAGCCAACCCAGCCCTGATGGATCTATACTGTGGCATTACAGAAAACACAGCCAACTCAGCCCTGATGGATCTTTACTGTGGCATTACAGAAAACACAGCCAACCCAGCCCTAATGGAACTATACTGTGGCATTACAGAAAACACAGCCAACCCAGCCCTGATGGATCTATACTGTGGCATTACAGAAAACACAGCCAACCCAGCCCTGATGGATCTATACTGTGGCATTACAGAAAACACAGCCAACTCAGCCCTGATGGATCTTTACTGTGGCATTACAGAAAACACAGCCAACCCAGCCCTAATGGAACTATACTGTGGCATTACAGAAAACACAGCCAACCCAGCCCTGATGGATCTATACTGTGGCATTACAGAAAACACAGCCAACCCAGCCCTGATGGATATATACTGTGGCATTACAGAAAACACAGCCAACCCAGCCCTGATGGATCTATACTGTGGCATTAAAGAAAACCCAGCCAACCCAGCCCTGATGGATCTATACTGTGGCATTAAAAAACCCAGCCAACCCAGCCCTGATGGATCTATACTGTGGCATTACAGAAAACACAGCCAACCCAGCCCTGATGGATCTACACTGTGGCATTACAGAAAACCCAGCCAACCCAGCCCTGATGGATCCATACTGTGGCATTACAGAAAACACAGCCAACCCAGCCCTGATGGATCCATACTGTTGCATTACATAAAACACAGCCAACCCAGCCCTGATGGATCTATCCTTTTGCATTACATAAAACACAGCCAACCCAGCCCTGATGAATCTATACTGTGGCATTACAGAAAACACAGCCAACCCAGCCCTGATGGATCTATACTGTGGCATTACAGAAAACACAGCCAACCCAGCCCTGATGAATCTATACTGTGGCATTACAGAAAACACAGCCAACCCAGCCCTGATGGATCTATACTGTGGCATTACAGAAAACACAGCCAACCCAGCCCTGATGGATATATCCTGTGGCGTTACAGAAAACACAGCCAACTCAGCCCTGATGGATCTATACTGTGGCATTACAGAAAACACAGCCAACCCAGTCCTGATGGATCTATACTGTGGCATTACATAAAACACAGCCAACCCAGCCCTGATGGATATATACTGTGGCATTACAGAAAACCCAGCCAACCCAGCCCTGATGGATCTATACTGTGGCATTACATAAAACACAGCCAACCCAGCTCTGATGGATATATACTGTGGCATTACAGAAAACACAGCCAACCCAGCCCTGATGGATCTATACTGTGGCATTAAAGAAAACACAGCCAACCCAGCCCTGATGGATCTATACTGTGGCATTAAAGAAAACACAGCCAGCCCAGCCCTGATGGATCTATACTATGGCATTAAAGAAAACACAGCCAACCCAGCCCTGATGGATCTATATTGTGGCATTAAAGAAAACACAGCCAACCCAGCCCTGATGGATCTATACTGTGGCATTAAAGAAAACACAGCCAGCCCAGCCCTGATGGATCTATACTGTGGCATTACAGAAAACACAGCCAACTCAGCCTTGATGGGCCCATAAAGCGGCATAAAACAACAACCAACGAATCAGTCCAGCTTTGGTGACTGTATCCTGTGACGTTTAACAACAACAAACCGACCAGTCCAGCCCTTAAGGGTCTATAATAGCGCTAAACAATCAAACAACAACAAGAAAAGGAAAAAAAAAACGAATTTATTTCGCCACTTTCTGAAAGTCGGAAAACCGTTTTGAGATTGAACTCGCTTACATGTAAAAGTCTATGAGTCTTTGTAACTCAGACAGTGTCTAGACACAGCGGTAGCCAGCAGGAGTTCGGGGCTCATACTTCTTCTTCTTGCCCTGACGGGCAAAAGTTAGTATATGACGTTTTGAACGTCCTGTAACAAAGACATACACCGAAATTTCCCAAAAATATTTAATGCATCATAATAAAAAAACACTTGAGCTGTAAATCACAAAAAATCAACAATTTCATTCAAGGAGTTTGTGAGCCGCTGTCAAGTAAACACGCAAGGGGTGGAATTTTGCATAAATCGATTATCACAATCTGAGTTTATGAGTCAGTAGCAGGGGCATTCCTTGAATACAGGATCTTGTGCACATCAGTATCGTGTGTGACCCCCTGCTGCGTCAATGCATGCCCTCACACGTCTCCTCATTGACGTCGTCAAACGTCGAATGACGTCATTGGGAATGCGGTTCCATTCCTCTCTGAGTGCTTGCTCTAGCTGTTGCCTGTTCTGTGGAACTTGTTGCCGACCTCTGATCTTCCTGTCCAGATGATCCCAGAGGTGCTCGATCGGGTTCATATCCGGTGAGCACGCTGGCCAGGGCAGGACGTCAACATTGTTCTGTTGCAGAAAGTAGCGAGTCTCTCTGGCAGTGTGAGGTCTCGCGTTGTCATGTTGTAGGAATTACCCCGGGGTTGATTCTGTAGGAAGGGTACCACAACTGGCTGTAGGATCTGTCCGATGTACCCCCGTGCATTGAGATTGCCCTGCACTACAACCAGACGGGTCTTCTGGTCTCCACAGATACCGCCCCAAACCATGACTCCTACCCCGCCGAATGGTTGAACTTCTTTGATGCATGGCCTTGCTAAACGTTCCCCTCGTCGACGATATACCCGTTCTTTGCCATCACACTTGTAAAGGGTGAAACGGCTTTCATCGGAAAAAAGAACACGTCGCCAATCTCGGACTTGCCACCTGTATACTTGCCTTGCCCACCGCTGTCTGTTTTGGCGATGTCTGAGGGTCAGGACCATTCCGCGGAAAGGCCGGTAAGCCCTTATACCAGCTAATCTCAATCTTCGGGTCACTGTGCGACGACTGATACGATGCCCGAGTGCCGTAGCCGCCGTCGACGTTGCCGTCACGAACCTGTTCCGGAGATGGATAGTCCGGATGTAGCGGTCTTCTATGGGTGTAGTGACCCGTGGCCGTCCACTTCTCGGCCTGTCTTGAGTGCTACCAGTATTCCGGTAACGTGTGAACAGCCTGGAGATTGTTGCTGGGGTACAGCCGAACGTTCTGGCAAGATGAGCTTGGGTAGCTCCCATATCGCGCATTCCCAATGGCTCGCTCTCGCTGAATTTGTGTCAGCTTCGGCATTTTTGCATGTGCTTTCAGTTACTGTGATATGCCAGCGTGTATCCATCCCATTTCTACCCGACTGGTGCACGTGCATGTTCGTGATTTTCAAAGATTACATGTTATACCTTTTTTCTCGTGCTAGGGGTCACGTGACTACATCTACTGACATCACTACCATTCTGCAATATTCTTGTGACTTTGACAATGTTTGCTTTGGATGTTTCATTGGAATTTAGACATGCTCAATTTCCC